GGGCTACATCCTACCCAAATATAGAGGCCACAGGACATGATTTTGCTTTGATTAGCTTGGACCTAAGGCAGGTGTTACTCCCACTTTTTAAAATCCAGGGGTGGAACTGTCCCCCTCCTTCCCATGCACCGCCACCGCACATGGGAGGTGCAAGGAGGTGGTGTGGAAATCTGGGGAAACCCGTGGCGAGGAGGGTGTCTGGTGTCCTAAAAGCACCCACAGCGCCCTCTACACAGGGTCACCAGATTTAGCAAATAAAAATATAGGATGCACAGTTCCGTTTGTATTTAAGACAAACCACAAATAATATTTTTTGGATAAGTATCGGCACATTTTTATACTAAAAAATAACTCATAATTTACCTGGAATTCAAATTTAACTGGGCGTCCTGTAGTTTATTGGCGCTAAGTCTTTGAAAACTTTTTCGTGGGTGAGACTTTACTTGTGGACCAGGTTAAAATGCCCATTCTGACTTGGCAGTTCCGAGCAAGACCTGGGATTCTGCATTTCTCACAGGGTCCTGGGTGATGCGGTGCAGCATGCTGGAGGTCCACAACCTTGAGGAAGGGTCCACACGACCCCTTGGGGGTGAGATGGGACGGAAGCACGTGGATTGGAACAATGCCCTCAGCACTGAGTCCAGCCCAGGATGAAAACTCTAGATGGTTGCTCATTATCATAATAATGAGCATCACAGAAGTGTGACCGCGTGCGTGTGTCTTTCTCTGTGACTCAGGGGACTTCTCAGTGATTGTACAACAGTGGCAAACTCTGTCCACTCTCCACACCGCAGCTGTTCTGGCTGAGGAGGTTTCATCGGGGGAAACATGAGAGGCGGTTGTCTAGGGTGGCAGCTGGTGCTTGGGCCCCTGCACCCCCACATTTCTGCGAGTACAGCCACCCTGGAAGCTCACATATCACCTCGCCCAGCCCGCCTTCATTCACTCATTTCAATCCCGAATGAGGCTTGTGTGTGCACTGTACTTTGGTCCCGGCGACATGAACCCAAGTGGCCAAAATGGGGATTTCCTGGAAGGAGTCTGGAGGGACTCACTTAGTGGAAGGGTGAGCCGAACAACCAAACCTCAGCGGGGGGCACCTGAGCTCAGCCAGGTCATTCAATCCCCACCTCTCATCTCTCAGGGTAGGACATTTTCTCCTCCGGCAGACTGGCTTCCTCCACCCGATGGAGAAGAAGCAAGGCTTCCCCCTCCCAGAGACAAGATTCCCAAGGAAGGGCACGGATTGGCCTGGCTCGGGTCAGATGGCCCCCGTCTGCTTCCTTCTCTGCAAGCACGCTCCATTCTCTCTCCCTCTCTCTCTCTTCCCTCCCGCACCATCTTATTCATTCCCATGGCTTTCAATTCCATCTAGATGCTGAGGTGTCCCTGAAGGGGAGCATGGCCATTGTGTTTGCTGCCTGACATCTGGAAACCTTGCGTTAGTTAGGTTAGAGGAAACTTCCAGAAGAAAGAAACACATATGGTTTAGTCTGTAATAAATACTGTGACTGGGGAGGCTTATGAACATCAGAAATGTATTGCACACAGTTCTGGAGGCTGGGAAGTCCAAGATCAAGGCGCCAGCACGGTCACCTTCTGGTGGGGGGCCCCTTCCTGGTTCATAGTTGGCTTCTCACTGCATCCTCACATGGTGGAAGGGGCTAGAGATCTCTCTGGAGTTTCTTTTATAAGGGCATTGATCCTGTTCATGAGGGCTCCACCCTTGTGACCTAATCACAAAGGCCCCATCTCCTAATAGCCTAATATCGATACCCTGGTATCATTTTTGGGGGCTACATCTCAACATGAATTCTGGGGGACATAAACATTCAGACCAGTGATATACATTATATATCAGCAATATACATTATAATGGCACAACATATTACACACTTCTCTTTTTTTTTTTACTTAGAAAATTTTTAAGGGTTATAAAATATACATATCATAAAATTTACCGTTTTAACCACTTTTTAGTTCCCATTGTTGTGCAACCGTCACAATCCGTCTCCACAACTCTTTTCATCTTGCCAAACTCAATCTCCAGACTCATGAAACACTCACTCCCCTCCCTCCCTTGCTCCTAGCCCCTGGAAATCACCACTCTACTTGCTGTCTCCATGAACTTGACTCCTCTAGGTACCTCATAGAAGCTGAATCGTCCAGCATTTGTCTTTCTGTCTTATTTTGCTTCGCATAATATCCTCAAGGCTCACCTATATTGGCGTGTGTGTCGCAATTTCCTTCCTTTTTAAAGCTGAATAATATATGTATAAACCACATTTTCTTTATTTCTCAACGGCCACTTGTTTTCATCTTTCGTGACTCATGCTGCTATAAACATGGGTGTACAAATTAGATACTTATTTATCTTTTAAATTTTATTTTATTATTTTTTAAAGATTTTATTTATTTGACAGAGAGAGACAGCGAGAGAGGGAACACAAACGGGGAGTGGGAGAGGGAGAAGCAGGATCCCCGCGGAGCAGGGAGCCTGATGCGGGGCTTGATCCCAGGACCCTGGGATCATGACCTGAGTCGAAGGCAGAGGCTTCACCCAGGCGTCCCTAGATACTTATTTCTTGATGATATAACAACCTCGGGTGGGTATTGGGCACTGGGTGAAATGTCTGTGGAGGGACCCAGTTTTCTCGGGGCTCTACCATGCCCTGGGACCTGGTTATTTTCTGCACCCAGCCAGCAGGAGGGAAGAGAGCACGGAGCAAGCATGCTTGTTTTTAAGAGCTGTGGCTTGGAAAAGGTCTGTGTCCCTCTGCCCGAATCCTAGTGATAAGTACAAATCACGAGGCCACACTCAGATGCCAAGACTGGTAACTGCAGTCCCTGGATGGGAAGAAGCATTTCAGGGATGATACTATACTTTGAAAGGGAAGGGCAGGTTTCTGCGATCACTTACCAATCTCTACTGCAGCCCCATCCTATGTTTTAGAGATATGCCATTATTGGTTTGGCTGTCTGAAGAGGGACTCAGAATTATCAATGGTTTCAGAGAGAAGGTAGTTTTCCTCACGGAGGCACACAAAACCTGTTTTTCACAAAGCCATCAAGTGTCTGTCTTTCCCCTCCTAGCTTGGTACTCCACCATCCTCAATATGTAGCTTCTGTCTGGTGATCCAAGATAGCTACTCCAGATCTCACCAGCTTGGCCAGCTGGGAGGGTGGGGAGGGGAGAGACAGGAAGCTGTGCCCCCCATTTTGCCCTCACCGGGCCATTGTAGACACACACTGAATGATCTGAGTCAGAGGAGCACAGATGTATCTTATACTCAGCTCTCACGATGTAAAGGTCATACCCATAATAATTAGTTTAAAAAAATTTACCTTTGTGATATTTCTGAAGGTGAGACACAGGCATATCTTACTATTTACAAGTACATATCATACAGTATGCTCCCCCCCAAAGGATGTTATTAGATCAACAATGCACACCTTATGATTGATGCAGACTGAGACGTGACCCATATAGTGGCTGGAGCAGAAGTAATAATACTAATAAGTCTTACTGATCACTAGCATTCTCATTGAGACTTTATTATAACTCAGGTCCTGAATTAAGCACATTTGCACGGATTATCTCACTAAATTGAGGCTGTGAGAGGTGTCATTCAACAGGTGAACTGTACATTCCCATCCTCCTGATGCCCAAGCTTGGTGACTCTCCTCCTTTCTTCCTTTCTTTCTTCCTTCCTTCCTTGCTTTCTTTCTTTCTTTCCTTTCTCTTTCTTTCTTTTCCTTTCTTTCTTTCTCTTTCTCTCTTTCTTCTTTCTCTTTTTAAAAAATTCGTTGTTTATATTTATTTATTTGTTATTGGTGACTGTTTCAATGAGGATGATCATAAAACGGTTATAAGTAATCACAGTAAGTCATCTGCCACTTTCGTGAGAGCCAGCCAAGAGCAGAGCCGACAGTGACCAGAGGGACTTAGCCTATGAGGACACTATGGAGGACACTGAAATGAGATCTAACATTCAGCGAGTGCTTCCTAAGTGCCTGCCTCAGGTGGGGGAAGCAGGTGAAGCCCCAGCTGCTAGGATCGGTGGTCGGCTACGGGAGGCAGTATGTGGAAGCATGGTCAAATACTAGAATCGGGAGCGAGGCCATGCTTGGAGCCCAGGCTCTGCGTTCTGGGCGTGTGGCTCTCGGCCTTGAACTCTGTGTCCCTTGTTATCTGCAAAATGGGAACAGGTTATTAATGGGACCTAAAGCATGCAAAGCCCTGGCAGGCGCACAACGTGCTACTACCCCCTGAAAAAAGAGGGCACTGAGGCCAAGAGACAGGCAAGGCTGGAGGACAGGGATTACTCGCAGCTCCAAGGGTGGCTCCAACCCTCGGGGAGCTTCCCAGAGGAAACCTGAGACCAGCTCCCCTCTCCGACCCAGAGGAAAGGGGACCCAGGGAAGGAAGGCGCTGGCCGCTCGGAGTGGCAGGTGCAGTAAGCGAGGGCACTTGTGGGGCTTGCCTCGGGGGCAGCAGGATCCTCATCCTAAAAGTTCACCCCGGGACCGGGCAGGGCTCGTCAGGGCTCTGTGGGTCACAGTGACTCTGTGGTCACTCTGGTGCGAGCGGACACCGCACCAGCCACGAGCCCCGGCACGGAAGGGGTTACGATGATAGAGACGACCGGAGGACCTGGGGTGGCACGAGCGGCCCTCGCCGCCACTCTCCCCCACACCTTTCCGCCCCAGGCTAGCGCGGGGCGCTGACCGCGCAGGCGCGAGCGCCGGGCGCCGGGCGGGGGGGGGCACCTCCCGAGACACCCGGAAGTCTCCGCCTAACGGGCCGGGCCCGCGCCTCCTGTCCTGGAAGGGGGCGGGGTCCGAAGCCCCTCGGCGCGCGGCGCCATAGAGCAGGGACGGAGGACCCGTGTCCTAGACGCGTCCGGAAGTGGCTGCCAGGGGCGCCCGCTCCGCACCATAGAGCTGTGGGGGGTGGCGGATAGGGGGTCGCCGGGCTCGCCTTCCTAGAGCGGCGAGGACAGGGTGGAGGCCGGCGGGGGGGGGGGGAAGGGGAGGGGGAGCAGCGCGGGCGGAAGCGGCCAGGAAGGTCACTTCCGGCCTGGGCGCCCGTCCCCCTGACCCCAGGGTCTGAGTCGCCGCTGCCGCCGCTGCCACCATCCGCGAGGGAGGAGAGAGGAGGAGTGCGGCGCGGCGGCCCCGGGACCGAGGAGGTGAGGGGAGGGCGCGGAGGCGGGGGGGCGTGAACCCGGGGTCGGGGTGGGCGCGCGCCTCGGGGAGCCCGGCTGCGGGCGGGGGGCGGGCGGGGAGGCGGGCGGGCGAGCGCGACTGGGCGGGCGAGTGCGCGTGCGCGTGCTGGGGGGGCGTGAGTGGGCGCGCGGCCGGTGACGCGGGCGGGCGAGGGCGCGCCAGGCGGAGCCGCGGGGAGCGCGCGTGCGCGGCGCCGCGCCGGGGCCGCGCCGGGGAGGAAGCGCGCGTGCGCAGCGCCGGGGCTCGGGCTGGGGGCTCGGGGGTGGGGCCGCCGCAACCTCCTCGGCAGGTCGTGGCCGGAAGTGGTGGCGATTCCCGGGGGAAGTTGAGGCCCCGGCGGGGGAAGGGGACGCGCGGGCCGGGCCGGCCTGACCGGAAACGGCGGCCCGGGGGGCGCGTCTGGGTCCCCGGCCTGCTTCCCCCGCCTCTCCGCTCCTTCCCCTCTTCAGAGAAGCCCGGGTTCCGCTGCCGCCCGGGGCAGGCTTCGTGCGGCCTTTGATCCCGCCGGGGATTACGGGCTGTGACCCGGCGGGAGGCTCATTCATTCGCCCCGGCGCGGGCGGCGGGCAGGAAGCGCGTGCGCCGCAGGGGAAGTGACTGGGCCAAGGTCAGGCACCGCGTGGCCCGCGGGACCGGGGAGGACGGTGGCCGGGCGCCCAGCGGTGCTGCTTGATTCCCCATGGCCAGCCCCGGCCGCAAGGGGGAACACCCCAGGTCGTGGAGATAGGGGTCAGGCAGGCACAGGATGGCGGCGTCGCACGACGGAAAAGTGACCCACAGGCTGCCCTGGTGCCCGGCCCCGTGCTGGGCACCAGGGACAGGGGCATGAACCAGGTCCTGGAGCGGGCGGGCGGAGACGGGGACCCGGGCGCGCAGTACTCCCCTTCCCCAGAGTACTTGGCGGGGAGGTCAGGAGGGCCCTGGGAGCGCAGTCCGGAGCGGTTTCGGGGAGGGGGTCCCTTGGCGTGTGGTTTGCTGGTGCCAGGCCCTGCGTTGGGTAGCGGTGAGGGTCCAGGTGGGAGTCAGGACTGGCCTTGCTCTGGGGAAGCACAGTTGCTGTTGATCCGGGCTTATCTTCTCTCTAAGACCGTAAGCCTCTTTGGCTAAACGCAGCTGTCATTCACCTGCCTGCCTTCTACCTCAGTCCCAAGAGCATTCAGATCAGATTCCCACTTGTTATCTCTTGTCTTAGCTTTTTTCCCCTGGAAGCCTTCCAGACCTAACCCCCACCCCCGCCCCAGCGAGCTGAGGTAGGGAGAGCTCCAAGGGCTTGTCACCATGCCTGGCCCATGAGCAGCACTGCGGCGTTAGGAGTGCTGGGGTCAGACAGATCTGAGTTCACATCCCAGCTCCATACCTGGTACTTGGTGACTCTGCAGCACAAATGAGCGTAACTTCTCAGTTTCTATGTGGATAAAAAGGAATGATAATAGTTTTGACTTGGTAGGGAAGCTCTTAATGCATTCCTTTTAAAGCCAGAGCACATCTCAAGAGAGCTGAGTGTAAGGTATGTGAGGAGGGCTCTGGAGCCAAGCATTCCTAGGTCAGGCCTTGCTCCTGTCTCTTCCAGCATGGTGACCCATGGACCTGTCACTTCCCTCTTTCCTTGCTCGCCTAAGGCGGAGAGCACAGTCCAGCATTTCTTGGCTAAGCCTGGCCCTGTGCTGGGCCCATGGGCACCGTGGTCACAGCACTCTGCCATGGGGTGGGAAAGAAGGGTCCCTCAGCACACGTTTCTTGAGGCTTCCCTGTGCCAGACCCAGAGCTGGGTGACCCTGGGTGGCAGTTCCTGCCCTGCAGCTGCTTGGAGGCCTGTCAGGGAGGCACATACAGAAGCAGGGAGTCGATTTCCTGGAACAGCCCCCAAGAATTACAGGTGCCCAGAGGGAAGTGTGTCTCCGGGGGAGGTGGTGTGTCCTGTGTCTTGAAGGACAGGGAGGGATTGGCCAAGAGGACCTGGGACTCGGGAGGATGATGGTGAACTCTGGACTCGCCATTCTGGCCCTTGGCTTCCAGCAATAGCCTGGCTGGCTGGACCGTTGGTAGTCACTGCTGGGTGCATAGCTCTCCAGGCACCCATGCTTAGACACATCTCAGCTTCCAAACCTTGCTCGGTTGTCTTCCATGCTGCCCAAAGCCTTGCATGTGCTGGGGCCTCCAGGAGTCAGCTGTGGCTCTGGCCTCTTGGTGGTGACAGACTAAATTTGACAGCACTTGCTTCCTGAGCACTTGGCAGGTGCCTGGTCCTGTGCCTGGTCCTCACTGTCCTGAGCTCTCAGAGGAGTTGGGATGGGAGTGATTGCCCTTGGTTCAGGGGCATGGGATGGAGCCCCAGGCCCCACAGCTGCACAGGGAGCACTGGTCTGCATGGGATTCCAGAGCTTGGCCCTTCACCATAAAGCCGCAGGCTTTGTTGACTTCTTTCTTTTGGCCAAGGCTGGGGTCTGGGGGAGACAGAGGTTATCGGGTTGGGGACTTGCTCTCTCTGCTGTGGGGTGCGTTGTCACGAAGGGTCGTTGGCTGGTCAGGGCACTGCGAGCCCCAGCCTCTCATTTCAGGGGTGACTCACACTAATAGTCTCAGTGGCTTTGTTGTAGAAGCACAGACAGCTGTGGCCTCCCGATCACTGAGCCGCCAGCCGGGCCGAGCCTGGCTGGGTGGACCTGGGCCCTGGGCTGCGCCGCCTGGCCACCTAGGGCTGTAACGATGGCAGTTGAGCCGGTGCCAGCATCCTGAGGACGAGGAGGAAAGAAACGACGACCTTGGAGGCTGGCCGTCCTGGCGAGTCTCTGCTCCTCTACTTGGTGGCTCTGTGATGTCGAGTCAGCCACCAAACTGTCTGAACCCCAGCTTTAACAGTTCTGGTCAGGGGCCACCAGGCACGTTCTGGGTGCCTGGCTTCTGGCTGAGCACTTCACATGCATTGTCTCCTTTGATCTTGACGCTGGGCCTGTGAGGGTTAGGAGCACAGAGGCCGGAGCACCTTGTCCAAGGTCACATGCCTGCTGGGTGGTGGGGCTGAGTCGGACTCTGGCCGCCTGCCCGGAGAGCTTGTCCTCACCTCCCTGACAGTGGTTGTGGGGATTATGAACCCACTGCACCCTGTGCACAGGATCTGAGATGTAGTCTGTGCCTGATGAATGGGATCTGTTATTTGAAAAGAGGACAGTTGAGCTGAGGGAAGGGAGAGGTCTGGGAAGACTTCCTGGGGGAGGTGCAACTTTTACTGGGCCCTGACAGCAACTCCATGGGGAGAATGGGCAACGTGGAAGGATGCAAACACATCCACCAGGGAATGGGGGTCTGGCCTGATTGATGGGTGACAGATGTAACATGGCCTATAGGCATGCTTCCATCTTTTTTTTTTTTTTTCCTGCCTAGAGAATGTTTTTGTTTAAGCAATTTTCAGTTACTTGCCAAGACTTAATGATCAGGAGTGTTCACGGACGTGTCTGAAGATCTGGATGCTGGGTGTTCCTGGATGGCGGCAGGTGGCCTCCGCGCTCCCTGCCGCGCCTGCCGCTATGACTGTACAGGGAGGTTCTAGGGAGTCTAGAAACTGGTTTCTTTTGGAGATAGGGAGTGGGGACCAGGGTGTCTGGAGTTTGCCACCTGCCTGGGCTCCGGGGTGCGGGGCACTGCATCCCTGGGAAGGCTGCACGGGAATGGAGGCAGGAGCAGTTGGTGCCCCTGAGGATACGAGGGCGGTGGCCGACGGCAAGGGTGAGGCCTGCGTGGCCAGGTGGGACGTGCGTGGGAGAAAGAAAGCTGTGAAGTAGGGTTGTCCTCTTCATGGGGGGACCGTGAAGGCAGCCCAGACAAGGAAAAGAGGAAGAAAGTGGGGTTGGGGGAGCAGAGGAGCAGGATCATAAGGGACTGCTTTGCTCAGCTCTTTCAGTGTGCTGGAAAACCCGAAAGCAGCACAGATCGCGTTCTGGGGAAGTACAACCTACCCAGCTGACTCCCGATAAGATGGAAAAAATCCAAGCAGATTATCATTGTGGAAGAAATGGGAAGAGTTGACAGAGGGCCCCTTTTCCCCCCAAAAAGGGCTTCAGGTTCTGGTGGTGTTGCTGACTTGTCCTCAGTGTTGAAAGCACAGATTAGAGCCGGACAGGACCAGCTGTGGGTGTGGGAGGTGGTCTGGGTGGGAGGTAGAGCAGGGAACAGATGGGTGTTCAGGCCTGGAGCAAGGGGTCAAGCCGCCCCCAGAAAAGGGAAGTGGGTAGGAGCTGGTGAGGAGAGCGGAGGGGTCTACCTGCAACCCCAGTGGAGCTGTGGGGCATCACCACCCAGGCCGAAGAGGGGTCTGAGGTCTGAGCGGCCCCCATCCAGTCAAGGATGCCAGCGCCAGGCTGCTTCCTCTCAGTGAGCCATGTGCGTTGGGCGGACGATTCCAGGTGGTGGTGCACGCAGGGGAGGAAGGAAGCCTGGCCATGTGATGTGGGGCGGGTCGTGGGTGGACCCTTGAGAGGTGAGAAGGTGCCAGGCAGGTGGAGGACAGGCCGCCGATGGGAGGTGGGCAGTGGTATTGAGGGGCTGGGTGAGTCACAGGGGTGGGTTTGGATTTGGGGTGACGTGCCGTGGGCACGTGCAGCAGGGTGGTTTGGGCAGGGATGCGAACTCTAGCGGCTTCATGGAGGCGTGAGTCTCCTAGCACACGACCCCCGCTGCGGAGTGCACAGTGGGTGGGGGTTGATGTGCTCACAGGTAGGTGCACCCATCTCCACAGAACACTGTCGTCATCCCAGAGAGACTGCGTCCACTCCCCTTCCCCTGCCCCCAGTCCCTGGGAGTCACTTATCTGTATCCTGTCTGTGGGTTTGCCGTTCTGCACGCACGACGCGGTCTCTGTGTGGCTCCTTCACGCGGTGTGATGTGTTCAGGGCTCCTCCGGGATGTGGTGCGTCAATGCTTCGTCCCCTGTGTGACGGAATAACGTTCTGTGGAAGGATCGGTCCAC